AACACAGTAAGGGGAACCAGGGCCGGCCCTAGCTAATTTGGCGCCCAAAGCAAGATTTCAGTTGGTGTCCCTAGTGAAATTGACTAAATCTCACTGCCATTTTACATATATCCACATACCAAATTAAACAATTTGGTGTTTTACATTATTTTCTATCTTWAGAAACCAGGCTATCCAATTAAAACTGTCAACAATCCATTTCTTTAGAAACAGAATACCAGAAGTTTACCTCATACCTGCAATCATCTTACAGCAAAGAGGAACACCTGTTCATGTTAACAAGCAGCTGTGGAGTGAAGCAGTTCTAGGTGGGTCCAGGACAATTTTGTAAAAGATTTACTCAAAACTATGCATTTTCCAGCCATTTGAAGAGCATTTTACTGAATTCTTGGATTAATAAAACAACATAAAATCTGTATTTTAGAAAACTAGACTTTAACTTGAACTTTGAGATCTTAACTTAAACTTCCATTATCCTTATTGTTATTCTATTTACACACTGAGCACCAGTAGCTTGTACTGACTGCATCATGACACCTTTATCGTGAAATATCCTCAGCACCGTATAACCTCATTTAGTAACATAACAGGCTGAGAAACCCACAGAACAAGTTAACTTCATTCAATCAATCATACAAAAAATTAAATTAAATTCTGGACCCTATTTGTGGCACCCTCCAGATGGATGGCACCTTTAGCCTTTGCCTATACTGCCTATAACGCCCACGAGCCCGCCCTGAGGGGAGCAGTGAACACATTGAGTATAGCTTCTTTTAAAGTCATGTGATTTTGGTTATAGTGCTATAATTCTACATAAAAAACAGGATTAAAAAATGAACATCTCTTTCTTATCTACAAATCTTGATTTGTGAATTCTCAAGTGTTTTATCATGACCTGATGGCCACTTTTTTATTTCACTATTCTAAGCAAGCCAGGGCAAAAGGGCATTGCTGATGTTCTTGGTTGGTCTTTAATTCTCAGGATGCCCGTGGGACCAGCAGAGTGGGCGAGTCTTGCTGTACAATATCAGGTTGGCAAAACAGATGTTTGTGTTGGCTGCATACTTAATGCCAGCCTAATTACTATTTCAAGCCAGGCAACAACTGTCCAAACACCATTCTGCCAAAAAAAAAAAATAAAATAAAATAAAATAAAATAACAACAGTATGACCAGATAAGTTTTAGCTCTATTTCATCTTCTATATATTATATATATTTTAATACGCCAATCCACTTTCAGTGAAGAACTGCACCACAATTAGTTTAATAAAAAAAAAAAACAGTTTCAGACAAATCAGAGGAGTCAAAGGAGGTTTTATATTTTTCAAGTGTGAAAGCTGAAGGTGAACTGGACTGTGAAGCACACAAACATTGTTTCTGTTTTTTTTTTTTTTTTTTTTTTGGTTTGTGTGTTTCTGGTTATCACTGTGATTTCACCTTTGAAGAGAGAAAGAAAAAGGAAAAAGAACCACAGAGCTAACCCAGAATTGTTTCCACTGGCTATGGTTAAAAAATAAAATAAAAAAATATATATCTAACAATATATGCGCATAATATGTATACCCAAGAACAAGGACAGTTCGTTTAACTCTCTCTTGCCTCTCCGCTCAACTGATGTGAGCCATTCATCACCACCCAGCTTCACATCTGTATGCTGCCCATGTGTTTGTGTGTGTTGGGAAAATAGATTAAAGTTATTTTTTTCATAGCACACTCTAAGCTTTTGATCCTGTGTTAAATTCCTCAGCATTTATGAGTTTTAGACTGTGAGAATTACGGTTTGTGTGAACCATCGAGCGCGTGCTGCCCTCTACTGCCCTTTTAATGAACATCTGGTAATAAAAAAGAACCTCTTGTACTCAAATTATTAACATGCAGGAGAAACTCATAAGGCTTATAGTTCAGGTAACGGTCAGTTAGCGTGCAAATTGTATTTCGTTTGCCATTGCTAATCCTCCAAACACTTTGGGCTTAAAGAAAACACATCAAAAATCTAAAACTCACCTTGCCTTACACTTTCTGATGCTCTACTTTAAAAGTTATATATCTCAACAAAAAGCTTTATTGATTTGATTTATTAATTTATTATTTTATTTTATAGGGATTTCTTATCCTGACTTGACATTAGCTCATATGTCATCTCTAATTCATAAGATGAGTGGAGGAATAGAAGCCAGCAAGGTAATCATGGTTACACGCAGTRGATTAATGTATGTAATCTGTTACTGTGTTTGTGACAAGGACACACAAAGGGCTAATTAAAGAAAGCTTTTACTGCTCCTCCWTCAGATCAGGTCATGTCTCATTAAAGATGGTCTCAGTGCAAAGGGAGTCATTCATTACTGGCTGTTTGTGTGGAAGAAAGAATGCAATTCATGCTAACCAGGCAGGTATGACACGATGTGGAGGCGAGCAGTAAACATGCTCCGTGCTAAAATAAATCATGGAMTTATATTTGAAAACATTCTCACGTGTTAGTCTGGATTTTCAATCTAGGTCGGGGGTCTGCAACTTTTAGAGAGACATTTCTTCCCCTTTCACTGGTTTAATGCATCTACAACTGTGRTTTTCAACTGGTGGCCTGTGGACCACTTTGTTTGCTGAAAGGGTGGTTTCCGGCCAGTATGGGATGACACTGTAAAAGTAACAATATATAGAGAATTTGAATTATTATTATTTTTACGCTTTAGAATTAAAGGGATCCATGATTAGCTGTGACATTAGACTTTATTTAATAAGCATATATTTTAACTGTAAAATAAAGACTGTAAAAATACTGTAGGATGTTCAGTTTTTATCATTTTTAAACTAAAAGTTTAAAAATAGGATTTTGGACTGTGCTTCTTGGTGAATCTCCGTCCATGTTAAAATATATATGTTTGAAATTTACAAAACTAAACAGCCTGCAGTATTTTTTCAGTCTTTCTTTTACAGTTAAAATATGTTTATCAAATAAAAGTCTAATGTTACAACTAATCATGGATCCCTTAAAAAAAGAAGAAAATGTTCATGTAAACAAGAAAAAATATGTAGTTTATACTTACAAAATACAGCGGGTAAAATAAGTATTGAACACGTCACCATTTTTCTCAGTAAATATATTACTAGAGGTGCTAATGACATGAAATTTTCACCAGATGTCGGTAACAACCMAAGTGATCCATACATACAAAGAAATCAAACCATAAATGTCCAGAAATGAAGTTATTTATAATAATGTGGAATGGCACAGGGAAAAAGTATTGAAYACATGAAGAAAGGGAGGTGTAAAAAAGGCATGGAAAGCCAAGACACCAGCTGAACTCTCTCAGTAATTAGAAAGTAAGCCTGCCCCTTGTCGGTGCAAGTTAATATCAGCTGGTTCAGTCCCAAATGATGTCCAGGTATCACATCTGATGATGGGTAAAAGTAAAGAGCTCTCTCAAGACCTTCACAACCTTATTGTTGCAAAGCATAATGATGGCATCGGTTACAGAAGAATGTCTAAACTTCTGAAGGTTCCAGTGAGCACTGTTGGGGCCATAATTCAGAAGTGGAAAGAACATTATTTCACCATAAACCGACCACGACCAGGTGCTCCTCACAAGATTTCTGACAGAGGAGTGAAAAGAATTATCAGAAGAGTTGTCCAAGAGCCAAGGACCACTTGTGGAGAGCTTCAGAAAGACCTGGAATTAGCAGGTACGATTGTTTCAAAGAAAACAATAAGTAATGCACTGAACCACCATGGCCTGTATGCACGCTCACCACGCAAGACTCCACTGCTGAAGAAACAGCATGTTGAAGCTCCTTTAAAGTTTGCTGCACAACATTTARACAAGCCTGTGTAATACTGGGAGAATATAGTCTGGTCAGATGAGACCAACATTGAACTGTTTGGATGCCAGAATACACATCATGTTTGGAGGTCAAATGGCACTGCACATCAGCCCAAAAACACCATACCAACAGTGAAGTTTGGAGGTGGGAACATCATGGTGTGGGGCTGTTTTTCAGCATATGGTACTGGCAAACTTCAAATAATTGAAGGAAGGATGAGTGGAAAAATGTACAGAGACATTCTTGATAAAAACCTGCTTCCATCTACCAGGATGATGAAGATGAAACGTGGCTGGACATTTCAGCAAGACAATGAGCCCAAACACAAAGCCAAGGAAACTCTCAGTTGGTTTCAGAGAAAGAAACTAAAGCTGCTGGAATGGYCCAGCCAATCACCTGACCTGAATCCAACAGAAAATCTATGGAAAGAACTAAAGATCAGAGTTCATAGAAGAGGTCCACGAAACCTTCAAGATTTGAAGACTGTTTGTGTGGAAGAATGGGCCAAAATCACACCTGAGCAATGCATGCCACTAGTTTCTCCATACAGGAGGCGTCTTGAAGCTGTCATTGACAACAAAGGCTTTTGTACAAAGTATTAGATAAATTTCAGTAAGTGTGTTCAATACTTTTTCCCTGTGCCATTCCACATTATTACAAATAACTTCATTTCTGGACATTTATGGTTTGATTTCTTTGTATGTATGGATCACTTGGGTTGTTACMGACATCTGGTGAAAATTTCATGTCATTAGCACCTCTAGTAATATATTTACTGAGAAAAATGGTGACGTGTTCAATACTTATTTTACCCACTGTAAATATTTAGTTCTTCTCAGCAACTTGTCTTGCAGGTATTCCAAAAAATTCTTAATGGTTAAGGGGGAAAAAAATCACACTATAAAGCTGAATTATTGAAGTGGTTAACAAACCCAACATGTTTTCCTCTTGAACTAATAGTTTTCAACACATATTTGCAAACAAACTGACAAACTGCTAAAGCTAGCCTTGTCTGTTGAGGGTATACAAAACAACAAACCAATCTTGTGTTTCAGTCAAAGCTTCAGAGTTGCTGCAGAGGGGCCAAAGAGGCACACGTGGCTCCAGATGAACCTTAGGTCTTGAGAAGCACGTCTCCTAAAATTTCTCATCTCTTAGAATATTATTAAAAACAACTCAGTCACTCTATAAAATCAAAATTTATTTCTGAAATAAAAGAATATCCACTGAGGGAAGGGGCAATTTGTCAAGATTAATAGTTTACATTTCTAAATACAAAACATATACAATTAAGAAAATAAATATAAACCACGTCTCCAAAATGGTTTAGGTTTTGACACATTGGTTTAACAAAAATAAACTCTTCTTCGAAAGAGGCTAGGCAAAGAAATCAATTCTGCTTTATAGAAGCTGATGTGCAGCCTTACATGATACATGATCTGTGTGCTCAGATAAGTCATGTCAGCAGGTAAAACTACATTTTAGTGACAAGACTGTCACCGCTTCTTAAGCAWCAAAACTGCAGCTGTCCCCTATCCAAAACTGAGAAAAACATTAAATGGGGGGATTTGTAGAAGGGAAAGTGGAGTACTAGACAAAAAAAAAAAACTTTTCTTTTGCTTTATTTCCATTTCTTTACTACATCTAGTCTACTACATGAGACCCTGGTCGATCACAGATCGCTTTAGATGGCAGAGGATATTGTTACTGGCAGTTCTACAAATGTTGATATGCATGTCTTTTCATACTTGAAGGCAGAATTCAATGAAAAAAGTTCCATCCATGGTAACACTCAACTGAAACACAGAAGAAAACCTCATTTACAGAATGTCTGAAAATGTTTTAAAGCAGGGGTGCCCAAACTTTTTTGAACCAAGGGCTACTTTTGAAGTTGGCATTTTGCCGAGAGCTGCTCGTCCAGTCTCAGTATCAAAAAAACAACAACATAATTTTGTCTCCCTACTCCTCACTTCTTTAAAGTAAATAAAACAGAACGTAACGTGTTGCTTGTTTTATTTAATGAAAGCATGTGTAAATATTGTCAAGGACCATATTGTGCAGGACCATTTTCTTCCAACCTCAACSTTTAAAGATGTTGATTTTCGTTAGATTTTTGATTTCTTAACATGAGAAAAGTAAAGGAAGTCAAATTTGGGTTAAAAAAATCCTCACTTTTAACTTGTGAAAAAAAGTTTTTGTTCCATCATCAACTGTAACATCAACAAGCCTGTGTTGTTACACTTAAAAAAGACAATACATAATAATTATCAAGGACAMAAATGATAACTGTCAAAAGTAAATCTTTCTTTTTTTATATAATCCAATTCCAGTGGTTTCAAATAATGAAATTATTTGGGGGGAATTTGAACTGTAATAATTATATGAGGAGAAACAGGGTGAATAGTCAAAATGTCATAAGTCATTTTTACAATTGGTTGAGATCAGAAACCAAAAGTGAATGAAAAATAAAACAAGAAAGCAACAAGTAAAATCTACTGAAGTGTTTACACTGTTTTTTATCGCCTCTTGAAACTAAATGTGAATCTAAATGCACCTTTTGTAAATAACAGTAAACACAGAACAAGTAGATTTAATGAAAATCCTATTCAGAGTAATTGTGAACGTAAAACTGCAAACGAGTTCTAAAATTGTTTTACAAGTGTTTTGGAGTAACGTGAAATCCTTTACTGTCTCTAATGCCTTACTTCTTTACATTTAACTACAATTTGACAGCATTTATATTTTACCTAAGTAATGGAAAACATAACCTATCATTAGCCAATTGTATACCTACTGGTTCTACAGCCTCTTATGAAGGAGTTTCTGCCCAAATGACAGCAAATGTGCATTCCAAAACAAATGACTATCCTCCCTGAGACTGTCCATGTTACCTAAAAACATCTGATTCAGCATTATGTAGGCCAAGAACCTCACTGCAAGTCTAAAGAAATCACACAAACTGGCCTCAAACTGGGTTTGATGCCACTTCAGAAGCTCTTTTCTTTTCAAACGTTTAAGACAATCAGACACAAYAAGGCTCTCAGAGCAAGAAGGAAATCAGACTGGTCAGAAAAAGCAGGTTGCAGGATATTTTTAAGGTTGATCAGATATTATTGCTTATTTGAAAATCACAGATTTATTTCAAAAAGACGAGCTGCTCTCAGATACCCAACCAGTTRCCGGCCTCCATCCGCAGGTCTGCARAACCAACCGTGAGRTGTAAAGTACCAGGAGATGGGTGCTGGAGCGCTGGAATAAATGAGTGTGTAATCAGGTGGCAAACTTCAGGGCATTAGTCCTTTGGTGGCTGACGAAGGAACATTATTTCATCTTGTGTCTCTGAGCTGACCTCGGCTTTGCAGACTCTGRAAGTGGGCCTCCTTGAGGATGCGGTTGATGTGCGAGTATGACACCGGGTTTGTTGGACCCGCCAACTCTGAGGAGTTGCTGGAGCTGAGAGGACTGCAGGGCCCCACAGCATACTGGCTCCCAGCTGCATGTTCTGGACTGCTGATGCTGCWGCTGCTCTCACTGTTGGAGGACTGTTGGTGACAACAAAATCACGAGTAATGTGACCAACTTTTTATCTTGAGCCTTAAAAAAGTATAACCTAACGGCACAATATTCACTCCTTTTTACATGTACTGTTTCCTATTTGTTTACTTTCCATGAGATTCCATCACAATGTTGACCAATAAATGGTAAATGTACTTTATTTGTCATCAGTGCATGTTACCATGCAATGATGAAATTTGTTCTGCATTTGACCCATGACATGTGAGAGGTGGAGCAGYGGGCAGCTATGTAGGCGCCTGGGGAGCAGTTGGGAGTTGGATGTCTTGTTCAAGGACACCACGACATGTGGGCATGGCGGGGAGTCGAACCTGTGACTTTCTGGTCCCAAGTCGGCTGCTATAACACTACACCACAGCCGYCCCACAATAATAAACTATTTTTCTTTTTAACCCTTTTCGGATGTGAGATTGTACATAACTTTAATTGATTCAATCCCTCAAAGCTACAAAACTTAGTATTTTATAAATCAGTTTGCCTTAAATATATAAATATTAAGAGAGTACAAGGTTGTTGTTTTTTTGTGCTTTTCACTTCCTCCAAGTAGGTATATTGGGGTTGGACAAGAAGAATTATCTGACAATTAATCAAGCAATAAGATTTTCTCCAAATCTTACTCACAAACTAACTACTGCAACAGTGTTACATCATGACCTTATATGCTTTTTAGGTTAATTGAATGTTTAAATCAAATYTGCGGGATTCTTGACATTTATTGTTTCTACCTCAGAGTCCCACGCATCCCGGCCTGGCTTCGGAGAGAGAGGATGAGGAGCTCGGTTATGCCTTTTGGCTTGGTCTCTCAGGTGGCCTGTCTCCTCCTCACCACCACTGTGCTGTCGTTTCCTGTACAGGTAAAAATCAGTTATACACAGGTATGATTACTGGGCAGATATTTAGGGGAAAAGCTGTGTTCTGAGCACTTCTCTGCACTTGGTTAAAACAAGTTTTAAATAACATCAGATCAACATATTCTTTATCCATCAATAATGACACAATAACAAAACGGGTTCTGACTGTTGTCTGTGCTTACGGGCCGAACAACAGTTCAGATTACCCACCCTTCTT